TTATTATAAAATAAATAATAAATAAAATAATAACTGGCCCCCTAGTGGCCAATCTAAAAAAACTACAACAGAAATGACCAGCCACCCTCTGATTAATGAAATAAGTTAGTATCGGTTCATGGTATTGGTTAACTTTTACGAGTATGAGTACACACACATTTTACAGTATCAGCCCTGATACGCGATACCAGTATCAGTATCGGTGTATCCCTAATAATCATACATACAGGAGCTCTCAAAAGGTGCTTTAATTGATTTAATTACACAGAAAATAAAGAGGTTAGTGTTCCTCCAGCATATTTTTTTTTCTCCATCATGATTGGCTACCACAAAATAGAAACTAAAAACTTGATTTGCTGATCCTCTTTTTTTTGTTTGTTTTAAATGTAGGGTGTAACGCCGGTCCAGGAAATGCCAGAGTGTGTTTAACCGAAGAAGATGCCGCCCCTCTTTAATGAAAGTACAGGTAGGAGAAGCGAGTTCCTAAACGTGTAATAGTTCAGAAAGGTTCAGAAGACTCTGTTTGATTTGTTTATGTTTTCCAGTTTGCAGGTGCCCTCATCACACTTTAATTAAAAACCAGATTTTAATCAGCAAAGTGGCAAAATTAGCAAAATTAGCAGTGTTGTGATTGGTGTTACTGCTGAAACGCTTCCCATAAATAACAGAAAACAAAGGATATGTCATTATATTTTCTCAGTGAGTGAGCTGTTTTGCTCTAGATCAGCAGTCAAAATATCAAACGCATTCGCTTTATAACGATATAAGGAGGATAAAACGTGTGGCACTCTCGCCTAGTAAATGATTTATGACTAATTAATTAACTCAAAGTGAGTCAGAACAAAAGAAAGTGACATTCGAGGCTCGTGTTTTGATGCCAGCAGCACAACTTACCTTCTTGACACAACTTTAGTGCTGTAGTCTAGCAGATACCTTTCCTACAGCTGACGGAGTGTCCTGCGATTGAACCTTGACCCCAGGTAACTCCTCCCACCTGTCAGCTGTAGAGTGGCTTATGATCACACGAGTCCTCCCCCTCACCACTCCTCTACCTTGGTGCTCACCCGTGCATGCCCGGACATGCTGTGAAACACTGAGAGAGGGTGGAGACAAAAAAAAACAAAACAAGAAAAACCGGAAGGCATGAGAGAAGCGAGAGAGAGATGTGGGGGGGTTGAGGGAAGGCAAAGATCCGTGGGTGTGGGAAAAGGAAAAATAATGTCATGCTAAAGCTGCAGTTTTGGGTCGATTCTCAAAAAAGAAGCAGGAAAGAAAGTGAGAGAAGAGGGGAAACTGGCTGTAATTGGAGCACACGGAGGGCGACTCAGACAGGGGAGGGGGTGAGATACATGCTGTCATTGACTCATTCCTCATTTCCTTCTCCCTCTTTCTTGATATCTGACAGAGCAGCTCCATGATCCCCCACGAGAAGCACGGTGAACTGTAGCATTTCAGACTCGGCGACACAAGAGGTGCACCTTTCCTCACTTAACCTTTTTCTCTTTTTTTTTTTTGCCAGCCTTACACCTCGGGACCTACGGGAGATAATAATAGGCGATAATAATCGCCTGATGCAACACTTTTCAGAAACTGACAAGCTAAGATATCCAGTTATCTCCTAGAGCTGTCACACACACACCGGCTGCAGCTGTACCACAAAAAGGAGTGGAGTTAGTCACCGAGTATGGGATGTGACATTCACAGTGCTAAGTTGTCCCCTGGATGTCAGGACCCCAGGAACAAATGAGCAGCAGTGGATTTGGCAGCAGCTCCAGCTTGCTTCGGGGCCGGCGTTTTTATTGCCGGGAATGGGCCCTGGACAAGCTGCGTCGCTGCCTGGACGCCCGCTCGGGGCCCGGGCAAGCTCCGGGGATCCTGGTAACGGGGGGGCCTGGTGCCGGGAAGACAGCTCTGTGCACCGAGGTGGTGTCCCCCACCTCAAAGGCAGGGCTGGCAGTTGGGTTGGCACAGCGTTGCCTTGCGGCCCACTTCTGCCAGAGGGAGGACCAGACGAGTACAGTGCTGTGGAGGTTCGTCCTGGGCTTGGTGGAACAGCTGAGGGCCTCTCCTCTCCTCTCTCCAGGGTACGAAGAACTCCTTAACAGCCCGTCTGTATCCTCTGCCCTGGAGCCTCTCACGTGTCAAAGAGACCCTAATGAGACCTTCAAGAGGTTTGTACCATGTTTCTTTTTTTCTTTGTTTTGGTGTCCTACAAAAAGTCAGCGCTCCCATCTTTTGAGATCAGTTTTGTTGAAACACATCAGTGGGAAATTTCCCATTTCTTCTAAATGAAAGGGAAAAGAAAGTTGCCTGAAACAAATCCAGGTGCTCAGCGTGTATGTGCACGTTCAAGGGTATGGCTCATGCCCAGCTCATCACAGCAGAATTTATGTGGGGGTCTGTAAATCATGACGCTGATGATGAAAGCCGGAGCAAATTTCCGACTTTGTGCGCGGGAAAAGCGGTTTATTAGATTCCAAAATCAATGAAAACAGGCCGACAGAGTCCTGGCACTGCAGCTCGGTGCTGTTGTATAAGTGGCCTGTTTGAGTATTTGGTTTTAAATGTAGCTGTTAACAGATCGTGTATTTACAATGATGTTTACTGTCAACCTGCTGATGACCCATTTTGTGTTTTGTTAACATGATGATCTTAACTTTATGCAACACGGAAGCTATGAAATTCAATCCGTGACCATCCGGTTATCTGACAGCATCTAGGATTAGGGCTGTTATTGTTTGAATCCAGTTCCATGCATTGAAATCTATCTAACTTTTTTTGTTTGTTTTGTGGCAGAAAGTCTGAAATTTTATTCATTTTATTGCATGAAAGATTAAAATAGTAAGCTAAACATCATTTCCAACACTCGTTGAGTTGCCAGAGTTGGTATGAGCTCCTGTAATTGGGGGAAGGACTAGCAGAGTTAGTTGTGGACATCTCACAAAGCCACCTTAC